CCTGGTGAAACATGTTTTATGGTGTAGCATAGATCTATTCTGGAGTGTGTTCCATATGTATTTGAAAAGAATGTGTATTCGTGTATTCTGCTGTTGTTGAGTGCAGTGTTCTGTTGATGTCAATTAGGTCACATCAGTTTTATAGTGTTGTTCAAGTCTTCTATATCCTTGATGATTTTATTTCTAGATGTTCTATTAATTCCTCAGAATGAGTTATTGAATTCTCCAACTGCTATTTCTGAATTATCAAAGAGTTTCCGTCAGATTTTTCTCCGTGTGTTTTGAGGCTCCTTTGTTAGAGGTATATATATATATATATTTTTTTTTTCTGATAAAATGACCATTGTATCATTATAAAATGGCCCTTTTGTGTTTAATAACATTTTCCAACTAAATTTCTATTTTGCCAGAAATCACTGTAGCCACTCCAGCTCACTTATGTTACTCTTTGCATGTTAGATATTTTTCCATCATTTTACTTTCAATGTATTTGTAACTTTGAATCTAAAGTGTGGCCTTTATAGGTAGCATATCATTGGATCCTGTCTTTATCCTAATCTGACAGTCTCTGCCTTTTGATTAGGGAATTTAGTCCATTTATTTCTAATATAATTATTGGTATGGTTAGATTTACATCTGCATTTTGAGATTTGTTTTCCTTAGCTTTCATATCTCTTTTGTTCCTTTTCTTTCTTTTTTGGTTAACTAGATATTTTATTTTTTATTTTGACACAGTGTCTTGCTCTGTAGCCCAGTCTAGAGTGCAGTGGCACAATCATGGCTTACTGCAGCCTCCAACTCCTGGGATCAAGCAATCCTTTTGCCTCAGACTCTGGATTAGCTGGGACTACAGACATGCACCACTACACCTGGCTATTTAATAGATAAAGACTTGGTGTCTATTAAATGCAACATGTGGACAGACTCAGAGACAGTTTCTAGTGACTGGTATTTTCTTCCTGCGTATGGACCAGAATTTCCTGTGTGTGTGCAGTTTGTTTGTTTTGCACGTCTCATAATTGTTAAAAAGTTGACACTGTAAATAATATATTTTAGTAACTTTGGATTATGATCCCATCTTCCACAGTTATTGTTGCTGTTGTTTTTTGTTTAGGGACTTGTGGGGATTAATTCGGTAGGGTTTTTCATCCCTCAGTGTGCAGCTACTGATGTCTCTGCTTAGTTTTTAAAGAATTCTTTCCATTTTTATGCCTGGCTTCCTTGGGGTCGTCTGTGGGTCTGCATAGCTTATTTTTAGACAATGATTGCTCAGAAGTTCTGGTTATACACCGCAAACCAGTTTGGCTTTCACTAAGGGGGTAAATGTGTGAGTTTGAGTACACATATTAAGTCCAGGCTGCTTATAAGTCTGCACTGGCATTCATTTCAGCTTGTATAAGCTCTCATATTCATCATGGGATCTGATATTTTGTGGTCATGCACACAACCTTCCACATCCTCATACACATGTGTGAGCTGATCAATTCCCACTATTGCTCTTATTTTCCATATCCCCTTAATTTTTTTGTCTGATCTGTTGCTTACCCAAACAATGTTGCAGCCTTAGGCAGCTGTGAGGTTAGCCTTCCCCAATTACTTGCTACCAACATTGCTGTTGTTTTTGACAATACCCCTAGGCATGGAGCTTTTCTCTGGAGCTCAGAGTCAGGTCAGCTCCCTCCATCTACAGTGAGGCTTCCATTCCTCATGGTTACCATGCCCACAGAGCTGCGGATGGGAGCAGCTCCAAGTCTAAATGCCATAGACCCCACTATTTTTATCAAGGTTTGGTAGTTTTTCCATCAATAAACACTTTTCAAATTGACACATGCTTTTGGTGAATTGCCAGTGTTCTAAAATGCTCATTTTTGACCATTTAAAAAAAGTTTTATAGTTGCTTTTGGGTGAGGGGTTTTGATGAGCTCCTCACCCTACCATTCCAGAAGCTCCACCTCTAGACAAGTGATTTTTTTGTTTTTGTTTTTTAGAGACAGGGTCTCACTCTGTCACCCAGGCTAGAGTGCAGTGGTGTGATCATAGCTCAATGCAGCCTCTAGCTCCTGGGCTCAAGCCATCCTCCCAACCCAGTCTTCTGAGTAACTGGCACCACCACACCTAGCTAACGTAAAACAATTTTTTTTAGAGACAGGGTCTTGCCATGTTGCCCAGGCTGGTCTTGAACTCTTGGCCTCAAGGAACCATACACTATTTTGACAAAAGTCAAAATATTGAGAAAGGGTAGTATTTAAACAAATGGTGTAGAAATATTTGGATATCCGTAAGCCAAAAAAAAAAAAAAAAAAAAAAAAGAACTTGGATCCATATTTCACACCATACTCTCAAAATGGATGCTAGACCTAGATGTAAAACCTACAACTGTAAAACCTTTAGAAGAAAACACAGGAAAAAAAATCATTGTAATTTTTGGTTAGGCAAGGATTTCTTAGATACAGCACTCAAAGGACAACCTAGAGGTGAACAAATGGAAAGATTGGACTTCATCAAAATAAGCAGTTCTGTTCTTCAAAAGACACTGTTAAGAGACCGAAAGGACAATCCAGAGACTGGGAGAAAACCTTTGCAAGGATAATGGACTGATAGTAAAGTTATGCCATATATTTATGTATTTTTTGAGACAGGGTCTTGCTCTGTCACCAGGCTAGAGTGCAGTGGTGTGATCTCGACTCACTGCAACCTCTGCCTACCTGGTTCAAGCAATTCTCCTGCCTCAGCCTCCTGACTAGCTGGGATTACAGGCGTGGGCCACCACACCCTGCTAATTTTTGTAATTTTAGTAGACACGGGGTTTTACCATGTTGGCCAGGATGGTCTCGATCTCCTGACCTCGTGATCCACCCTCTCAAAGTGCTGAGATTACAGGCATGAGCCGCTACACTGGCCCAAAATATATTTTTTAAACTCTCAGTGCTCAACAATAAGAAAACAAATAACCCAATTGATAATGGGTAAAATATTTGAACAGACACTTCATCAAAGATTCTCAATAAAAGATGATCAATATTATTAATCATTAGGGCAATGTAAATTAATATCACAATATTACTTCACATGTACTAGAATAGGCATAATAAAAAAGACTAATAATAATAAGAGTTCTAAGGATGTGGAGAAACTGGAACTCTCATACATTGATAGTGAGAATGTAAAATGGTGCAGTCATGTGAGGAACAGGCCTGGGTCTCATGTCTCAGCCAAAGCTCATCTATCCGGGGGAGATACTACAATGATTTGGAGGACAAGAAAATAATTTTTAAAAAACCCCTACAATTGACATATCACTATCTGCCCACCATTAATGGCTATAATAAAAAAGATGGAAAATACCAAATGTTGGCAAGTATGTGGAGCACTAGAACTCACATACTGTGTTGGTGGGAGTGTATATTGGTACAACCACTTGAAAACTGGTTTTATAACATATAGCTGAGCATATGGATACACTATGGCCTGGAAGTTCAACTCCTAGGTACATACCTAACAGAAATACATATGTTCAGCAATACACAGCAGCACAATTCCTAATAGCCCAAGCTGCAAAGAACCCAAATGTCTACAAACAGCAGAATGGATAAATTATATTGCAGCGTATTTACAGAATGGGATAGAACATGACAATGAGAATGAATTATCTACAACTATATACAACATACGGATGACTCTCACATACATAATGTGAATGAGAGAAGACACGTGCTAAAGAGTATATCACTCAATTATATGATACATAATTGTTTGGCTCAATTTACGTAAAATACAAAACAGGCGAAATGAATCTCTACTGCGAGAAGCCAGGATAGTGTATACCCTTGGGGCTTGCCTGGAAGGGATAGTGGGGAAGGCTTCTGGGGTGCTGGTCATGTTCTGTTTCTTGATCTGAGTATGTTCAGTTTTTGAGAATGCATTGAGCTGTATGTTTCTGAATACGCATTTTCTGTATACATTATAGTTTAATAAAAAGATTTCAAAATAAAATAAAAATGCAGTTGCATGCTAGGAAGAGCATTCCTTTTTATGAGTACTGTAAAAAAACGTTTAAGGGAAAATGAGAAAGTGTCTATATATCAGTGTTAAAACAGAGCAGTGCTTCCTCTTGAGAAGTCTTCCAGTTACTCAACTATGATAAGCTGTAATTATGTCTTAGAATAACTAATTGCAATGCAACATGACTTTATCCCATAGCAATCTACACAAAACTACCCTTAAAGTGCATGTAGGAAATGAATATATCTTAACCAAAAAGGAAGAAAAACAAAATATTAGGAAGTGAAACCCAATTTTTCAACCATTTTTTTTTCAGACAGGAAACCCAAGGAAAGCAGGGGTGTTGGTGGATAAGCTTGAATATCTAGAGTGCTGTGGATCAGTTCCATTGCCGCAGCATCAGTTACTGGGGGGTAAGGAATCTATGACCTGCAGCTTATACGAATGACAGCTTTGGGGACACAGGTTAGAAGGCATGCATACCTCTTACAGGGTATGACTCACTTGCTGTCCCAGCAGGGAATTAATAAGGAGACAACCACTACCTTTATATGTCTGTATCATTCAATGACTATATTCCTGTAACACAGGCTAGAGCTAGGTCTAATTTCCCAATTCATAAAGCTATACATTTAAATTTAAAAGTTCTGTTGCACTTAAAAAAATATATATACCGGCCGGGCGCGGTGGCTCAAGCCTGTAATCCCAGCACTTTGGGAGGCCGAGGCGGGTGGATCACGAGGTCGAGAGATCGAGACCATCCTGGTCAACGTGGTGAAACCCCGTCTCTACTAAAAATACAAAAAATTAGCTGGGCATGGTGGCGCGTGCCTGTAGTCCCAGCTACTCAGGAGGCTGAGGCAGGAGAATTGCTTGAACCCAGGAGGCGGAGGTTGCAGTGAGCCGAGATTGTGCCATTGCACTCCAGCCTGGGTAACAAGAGCGACACTCTGTCTCAAAAAAAAAAAATATATATATATATATATATATACCATGAGGACTTCCCAAAGGGAAGAGAAAAAACAGTTCTTCATGGGAATCTTCTTTTCTGTGTCTTAAGTGCCAATGATGACAAAGCAGATTATCCGCATTCCCAAGGAGGTTTTCTGCCTTGATGTCAGTGCCCTGCTAGTGTTTGGACAATGAAAACTCTTCTCTCCAGACTAGACATTTGAAAAAGTTTTTTTCCCAGTAGTGAGTACTTTTATGTCCCAGAATATGCTGAACTAAACAGTACTGAATTTAAAACGTTCTTTATCCAAAAAGTGAAACACAAGAGATGACAAGTCATCTCCTCAGGTCTTAATTCTGCTGTTTATAGGAGCTCAAGAGTCCCTGTATGAATAATGTAACCAGACATGACTATTCCTCAAATGCTCTTCCTCTGCACAGAACCGCATATACACTGTGGTGATGCAGGAACTTGTCTTTCCAGTGGACGGAAGGATACTTGGCTCTGTTTGCCTTCAGCTCACTCAAGCCTCAGTCTCTCATATCTATTTCCCCTGCACAACAATTGCAGCATCAGGCCTTCTTCCTCCCTGCTATTAGATACCTGATGCACGCCAAGTTGTGATTTCCAGGTGAACACTTTCTCAGTCACTGGCTTTATAGCGTTTTTCTCCACTATGTGTTTTCTGGTGTTTAATGAGATTTGATCTGTCAGTAAAGGCCTTCTGACATTCTGTACAAGCATAAGGTTTCTTTCCTGTATGAATGATCTGATGCATACTTAGCGTGGCTTTCTGGATAAAAGCTTTCCCACATTTACTACATTCATAGTGTCTTTCTCCAGTATGAGACTTCTGATGTATATTGAGGCGTGACTTCCACGTGAAGGTTTTTCCACAGTCACCACATTTATAGGGTTTCTCCCTCGTGTGGATTTTCTGGTGTGTTATCAGATTTGACCGGTCAGTGAAGGCCTTTCCACATTCAGCGCATATATTGGGCTTCTCACCTGTGTGGATTTTCTGATGCACACGGAGCTGTGACTTCTTAGTGAAGCATTTCCCACAGTCGCTGCATTCATAAGGCTTCTCTCCAGTGTGGATTCTATGATGTGCAATGAAGTGTGATTTCTGGATAAAGGCCTTCCCGCATTCAGGACAAACGTAGGGTTTCTCTCCTGTATGGATTCTTTGATGCACACTTAGTGTTGATTTCTGGATAAAGGCTTTCCCACAGTCCTTGCATTCATAGTGTCTCTCTCCAATATGAGATTTCTGATGTATTTTGAGGCGTGACTTCCATATGAAGGCTTTTCCACAGCCATTGCACTTATACGGTTTCTCTCCAGTGTGAGTTTTTTGGTGTTTAATGAGATTTGACTGGTCCGTAAAAGCCTTCCCACATTCAGCACACATATAGGGTTTCTCTCCAGTATGAGTTTTCTGATGTGTGGTGAGATTTGTCCTGTGAGTAAAGACCTTTCCACATTCTGTACATATATAGGGTTTCTCTCCAGTGTGAATTCGTTGATGTACATGGAGTTGTGACTTCTTAGTGAAGGATTTCCCGCAGTCACTGCACTCATACGGCTTTTCTCCAGTATGAATTCTCTGATGTGTGTTGAAATGTGATTTCTGGATGAAGGCCTTCCCACAGTCAGTGCACACATAAGGTTTCTCTCCTGTGTGGATTCTCTGATGCACCCTGAGTGCTGATTTTCTTGTGAAGGCCTTCCCACATTCATTGCATTCATAGTGTTTCTCTCCAGTATGAGTTTTCTGATGTATACTGAGGTCTGAGTTCTGGGAGAAGCCTTTTCCACATTCACTGCATTCATAAGGTTTTTCTCCTGTATGAATTCTCAGATGTCTCAAGAGGTCTGATCTCTGGAAAAAGGCTTTTCCACATTCACTGCATTTGTAGGGTTTCTGCCCAGTATGAATTTTTTGATGTGTCATGAGGTTTGATTTGAGGGTAAAGACTTTCCCACATTGAGTACACAGATTGGGTTTTTCTCCTGTATAAACACTCGGATGTATGTCAGTCCGGGCTTTCTGGGGAAAAACTCTGTTGCTTTTGTCACGTTCATGGGCCTTTTCTCCAGCATGAATTCTTTGATGCTCAAATAGATGTGACTTCTGAGTGAAGCCCTTTACACATTCAGTGCACACATACGGCTTCTCCCCAGGAGGAATTTTCTGATGGTGGGTGAGAGCTTGTTTGTGGCTGAGATGTTTTTCATAGTGATTATGTTCACAGGCATTTGCTCCTGTCTTAGTGTTCTCATTCTTGGTGGAGGAAGGGCTATGGGCGAAATTGTTACCGTTTCCAAAGATCTTGCCAAGGTTCTTTGTTGCATTGTTTCGATTACGATTATGTGAGTTTAAAGTATGCTTCAAACTCTTTCCAATTGTGTCACAGTTACAGAGTCTTTTAATTGAAGGAACAAGTTTGCTAGTCACATGAATGAGTTTTTCAGTGTTTCTACCTTCATAGCCCCTCTCCTTAATCAATACTTTCACATGACTTAAAAGGTTATTCTGGTTTTCCTGACATTGCTCTAGCTGGTCATTATCTTGCCACAGTTCTTCTAAAATGGAACACAATGAAGCTTCTCCTATGGGTTGATCAAATCTCTCAAGGAGACCAAATCTCTCACAGTGGAAGAAAATTTCTCCAGGAATACCCTGTTGTTGCATTTTCCCAGTAGCCTCACCTAAAAAGAAAAAGAAAGACATGAAAGCAACACAAAGAACAATTAGCAGAGGCTAGAGGGGACATGTGGTTCCGACAGGATGAACACAGAGAAATGAAAGAGCCCATAGGACAGTATAGTACCAATAATGTAGCAACACAACATTCTTATAGAACACTTAATCAATGCAAAACAACTATATATCATTTAGGATACACAGGAACTGTTACAAGTGCTTGCCACATAACAGCTCATTTAATCCTCACTAAACCCTACCAGATAGCTATGATTAGCAGTTGTTTTACAATTGAGAATACACAGGCACAGAGAAGTCATGCAACTTGTTTAACATCAAATAGCTAAATAAGTGGGAGAGATGGGATTTGAACCCTTGGAGTGTGGCTCCACTATGTAAGATGCCTGGATTGTGAGTAGAGTAAGTAGAAGAAACTGTAGCCTGTGGGGAAGGCTGGCATGGAAGAAATATTTCAGAATGTATGCTCTTAAACATATCAGCTCTACCGCTTTACTAAGCTGTCTGCTTCTTGCTTTTCCCTCTATACCATTATGAGTGGAGCCCTACAAATTTAATGTTCATTTAAACATTAAACGTATATGCCTCAAACAGCAATTCCTTTTTTTTTTTTTTTTTTTTTGAGATGGAATCTCACTCTATCGCCAGGCTGGAGTGCAATGGCGCGATCTCAGCTCACTGCAACCTCCGCCTCCTGGGGTTCAAGCAATTCTCCTGCCTCAGCCTCCTGAGTAGCTGGGGCTACAGGCATGCACCACCACATGTGGCTAATTTTCTGTATTTTAGTAGAGATGGGGTTTCACCACGTTGGCCAGGATGGTCTTGATCTCCTGACCTCGTGATCCACCTGCCTCAGCCTCCCAAAGTGCTAGGATTACAGGTGTGAGCCACCGTGTCTGGTCCCAATTCCTTTATATCTACAGACAAACTAGTTGCAACACACCATCCTGACACAGACAAACAGCAAATAGGTATCTGTACTCCAACTCTATAACCAGTTACAATTTTCTTCTTCTTCTTCTTTTTTTTTTTTTTTTTTTTTTTTTTTTTTTTTTTTTTTTGAGACGGAGTTTCTCTCTTGTTGCTCAGGCTGGAGTGCAATGGCGCGATCTCGGCTCACCGCAACCTCCGCCTCCTGGGTTCAGGCAATTCTCCTGCCTCAGCCTCCTGAGTAGCTGAGATTACAGGCACGCACCACCATGCCCAGCTAATTTTTTGTATTTTTAGTAGAGACGGGGTTTCACCATGTTGACCAGGATGGTCTCGATCTCTTGACCTCGTGATCCACCCGCCTCGGCCTCCCAAAGTGCTGGGATTACAGGCTTGAGCCACCGCGCCCGGCCCTTCTTCTTTTTTTTTAATGGAGACTTGCTCTGTAGCCCAGGCTGGAGCGCAGTGGTGCAATCTCAGTTCAGTGCAACCTCCACCTCCTAGGTTCAAGTGATTCTCCTGCTTCAGCCTCCCGATAGCTGGGATTACAGGCATACACCACCACACCCAGCTAATTTTTGTATTTTTAGTAGAGATAGGGTTTCACCGTGATGGCCAGGCTGGTCTTGAACTCCTGACCTCAAGTGATCTGCCCATCTTGGTCTCTCAAAGTGCTGGGATTACAGGCATGAGCCACCGTGGCGGCCCGAGAAGCAACTTTCTATTGGTTCCAGGAATACATGCTTATAACAAGAAGTGTAAAAGAGGAAAGGGAAAGCTATCTGTGGCAGAATCTGTAGGTCCTCCCCTGACATCTATTCTCCCCTTCTTTCACAGGAATAGAATGTAACTGGGCCTTACATTCACTGGCCTCGCTGTGTTCTCACCAGTGGCACATGAGCAGAAGTGATATGTGTCACTTGCAGGCCAGCCTTAAGACAGTGGGAAAATCTCCTCTATCTCCTCTTCCCTATTCCCACTGGACTCCACAGTGATCCATCATTAACCAGGCAGGTAACAACAATGCCCCAGGAGATGCCAGAGGAGAGACTTAGAACATGGTCCTTGAATGACCTGTCAGGATTAGAGTTGACTTGTTGAACTGGACCCATTCACCTCGGAATTATCATGCACGGGAAGACGTACATCTACATTTAGCTTCTCGTTTTGGTCTTCTGTACATATCCGAAATGTATTGTCTTTCTAAATGTCAGCTCTCATTTTGGTATACCTCTAGGGAGCTTATGTTTACTAGGAATTTGTAAAGCAGACACTGTACCACTCATATTGATAGTCAGTTTGGCACAGTTTTATAACAGAAAGGACAAATACATAAAAGGTGAGTGTTAGCATTTCATGTAGTCATCTTCTCACTCCAAATATAATGTATGTTCCTTTGAATTCTTCTAAGCAGACAGTCAAAAATTCCATCTGAAAGAGAACAAAATCTCCTCCTCTGACTATATCCCCAAATTCAATAAATTTGTTTACTAAATATTTTCTACACGCTCCACTTCAGAAAACTGAAGAGTAAGTGTGCTGGTTATCAGTGTTTTGCCTCTCAGTTCCAAATTCGCCCTTCCTTGCCTGCTCAACAAAAACGGATCTGGCCCCATTTGCCCTGATGTGATTATTACACATCATATGCCTGCATCAAAATATCCCAAGCAGGCTGAGTGCAGTGGCTCATGCCTATAATCTCAGCACTTTGGGAGGCCAAGATGGGTGCATCACTTGAGGCCAGGAGTTTGAGACACGGCAAAACCCTGTCTCTACTAAAGATACAAAAATTAACTGGGTGTGGTAGCATGCGCCTATAATCCCAGCATTTTGGGAGGCGGAGGTGGGTGGATCACCTGAGGTCAGGAGTTCAGGACCAGCCTGGCCAATATGGCAAAACTCCGTCTCTACTAAAAATACAAAAATTAGCCAGGGGTGGTGGCGTGTACCTGTAGTCCCAGCTACTTGTGAGGGTGAAGCAGGAGAATCGCTTGAACCTGGGAGGCGGAGGTTGCAGTGAGCCGAGATCATGCCACTGCACTCCAGCCTAGGTGACAGAACGAGACTCTTGTCTCAAAAACAAAAACAAACCCTCCCAAATATCCCATGTACCCCATAAATATATATACTTATGTACCCATAAAAATTAAAAACTTAAAAAGTGGATCTCTATCTCTTTAAATATTTTTTTTCTTCTGCCAGCTAGCATGATATTAAAGTTTGTCAGTGTGAGATGCTAGAGAGACACTGCAGGAGGGAGATTTGCTTCCTGGTTCTAGGGGGCTCACTCAGCAGGCTCATCCAGCAGGGACAGCCTGTCTAGAACCAGGCTCATTTACTGTGGGCATCTTTGCCAACATCTGGCTCCTGATGCACATGTGGTGTCCGCAGTGCCCAGGTCTTGCAGTCTTCTCTAGAGCTCAGCTCCTGCAGCTCATATGGCTTCCCAAGCACCCAGTTCCTGCAGGCTCCCACAGTGCTGTACAGTCAGCAGCACCCAACACCCCCAGGTTTACTCTCAGATGATTTGCAGTGGAATAGCTCCAGTGAGTCACCTCCGCATGAACAGCTTTCTCTAGAATCCTAGAGGGCAGGTTTCCAGCAAGTTCCACTGGCACAGTACCATAGCAAGTATTCCACCTGCCTCGAGCCAGGGTTGTGCCCTCCCTACAAGGTCTGAATCTCATCCCCGGGAAGTAGGGAGCCTCTTTCTTGGCTGCTTGCTCACAACCCTAGTGCTTTCTGTCTGCTATTCCTTCATTCTTCAGAGTTTCCCTTTTTACTAGCAAATCCCTCATTATTCCAGTCCCATGGCTCACTGCAACCTCCACCTCCTGGGTTCAAGCGATTCTCCTGCTTCAGGCAGCTGGAATTACAGGCATGGGCCACCACACCCAGCTAATTTATGTATTTTTAGTAGAGATGGGGTTTGACTATGTTGGCCAGGCTGGTCTTGAAGTCTTGACCTCAGGTGATCCACCTGCCTTGGCCTCCCAAAGTGCTGGGATTACAGGTGTAAGCCACCACACTCAGCTGCAAAGAATCTTTATGTTAACCATTCTCTGTTCAAATTAGTCTGTGGTTTTTCCCTTGGTAAGACCCTGAGTTATACTTTAAAAAATAGGCTCTTCATATACACATATTTCAAAACATCATGTTGTACACGATAAATACATTCAATTCTTATTTGTCAAATTAACAGATTTTTCTATAAAAATAAATAGGCTCTTTTTTCTTCTTCTTCTTCTTATTTTTTTGAAATAGAGATGGCATCTTGCTGTGTTGTCCAGGCTGGTCTTGAACTCCTGGCCTCAAGTGATCCTCCTGTCTCAGCCTCCCAAAGTTCTGGGTTTACAAGCATGAGCTACCACACTCAGCCCGAAACAGGCTCTTATTTCTGGAGACTTTCTTAAAGCATAGAGGCAAAAGCCTCAGTCTGTAATTTTTTTCAGAATTCTTGTGGGGTGGAGGATGAGAAAAAGGAAACAGCCATATAGGCTGGAATAATTAAGAGCTATTTTGTGAGACAGGTGAGAACTGATCACAAGGTAGAAAATATCTCCTCTGAATAGACAGAACACAGAACAAACAGATTCAGGGAAGACTATCAGATATGGTCGACATTAAGAAAACATTAAAAAGGAGTGGAGCAGAGGTTATGGAAAATATACAGATATGACTTGAACTGGAAATATATGACCATGTTGTTTGTCTCCTTGAAAGAAGAGTTTAATTGTCAAATACTAGGTAATGGAGAACAATTGTAGGTTTTTTTCATAATTCCCTATTTCAAGAGAAATAGAATGTTTTAGGTAAAGATATCTGTCATTAGCATTTAATATGAACTAGTAAAAAGAAAGGAATCAGCAAATCAAATCAGGAATAGAATAATTATAATTCAGGCAGAAGAAAATATGGAGCGGGCTGGGCGCAGTGGGTCACACCTATAATCCCAGCACTTTGGGAGGCCGAAGCAGGCAGATCACTTGAGGTCAGGAGATCGAGACCAGCCTGACCAACATGGTGAAACCCCATCTCTACCAAATATACAAGAATTAGCAGGGCATGGTAGTGCACATCTGTAATCTCAGCTACTCAGGAGGCTGAAGCAGGAGAATCACTTGAACCCAGGAGACGTAGGCTGCAGTGAGCCGAGATCTCTCCACTGCACTCCAGCCTGGGTGGCAGCGCAAGACTCCTTCTCAAAAAAAAAAAAAAAAAAAAAAGAAAAAAAAAAGACTGAAAAGGAGAAAAGGGAAAATGAGGATGAGAAGGCTGAAAAAAGGGCAAATAATAAATGAGATGCAGATCAGTAAGAAACAGACAATTGAGGAGGCACAATTGAAATCAGGGAAACATTATGAACAAGGTAATTCATAGGAGGGAAGCTCAAAGAGATATCAGGTAAATCATGAAATGTTCAAATTAAAAAAGAGATACCTTACTGTTGTATCATGAGGTCAAAAAAAAATGAGATATTCCTTTACACTCACTGTTGACCAAAAAATGAGACACTCCGGTACTACTAATTGTTAGCAGAAACAATGGGAAAGCAGGAACCCTTGTACAGTGCAGCTAATCTGAGAATAATATGGTGGTACTCAGTCCAATTCTGGATGAGATACTCCATGATTAGGCAAACTCTCTCTTCTCTACACATCCCTGAGAAATTCTCATACCCTGTAAGGAAATATTTATGTAGAAGTTGATTGCAGAACTGTGTATATTAGATGGGACTTGGACACAATGCTCAGCGTCCATGACTAGGTGAGTGGTTAAGTATGATGTGGTGCTGGGGACATTGTGAAATACTATGCAGCAATTTAAAGAACAAAGCCAGATGAACACACTAAAATATGGAGAGATCATAGGAATGAGTGAATAAAAAGGAACAGAACTGAGAAACATAGTACAATATGTTTTATATATACTAAAACACATACTCATAAACCAATACTTTAGGCTTTAAGAGAATATCACACAAATTCAAGGTTTAAACACATTAGTCCAGTTGCCCATGGGAGGAAGCATAAACAATGGTTATGGAGAATTGGAATAAAAGAAAAGACCTGTAATCCCAGCACTCTGGGAGGCCGAGTCAGGCAGATCAGTTGAGCCCAAGAGTTCGAGACCAGGCTGGCCAACATGGTGAAATCCTGTCTCTACTAAAAATACAAAAATTAGCCAGGCATGGTGGCATGTGCTTGTAGTCCCCACTACTTGGGAGGCTGAGGTGGAGGGTCACTTGAACCTGGGAGGTGGAGGTTGCATTGAGCTGAGATCATGTCACTGCACTCCAGCCTCGGCAATAAAAATTTTAAAACATCTGGATATATAAGAAAAGACTAAGATGGGGGGCAGGGGCAGAGTAGGAAGAATAAAAAGTTCCTAGATAAGACAGGGTGGTATGTGATCCAGGGTACAGAGAGTAGAGACAGCTCTCTTGCCAAAAAGCCAAACAAAGAAGACAATAATGTGGCAAGGTCATACATGGAAATGGCATTTAGGTATCTGAGGGCTACTGTCGACTATCTCTAATTGACTCCAAAAGTTTAGAACTTTCAAGATGGGTTGTCTTCAGAGTGTTTCAAAGGCATCGGGTTCTCCTAGAAAAAGTGAGACTGACTTCCATGTCCCCATCTGCCTGGGTCATGCTCACTCACCTGAACAGCTCTGATGTGGGGCTTCCCCCTCCAGTGTCCATGGCCCCTCTCCTTGCTCCAACTTGAAGGTGGCCTCTAACTTGGGAACTTGGTACCCTGTTAACAGGACATGATACAGGATTGGGTCCAGCTGATTGGGTTTCAGGGGTCTTTCAGTGACACTTTTCCTTTGCTGTTCAGAAAAGTAAACACATTTCACTGGGAACAGAGTAACAATCACAGAGGTGAAAAGGAACTGAATCCCAGGCAAATCCAGGATGACACCATCACGTAGTTTAGATGTCGGGTAGCACTCAGCAGCTGAGAATGGAAATACCCTCACTCACTGGGGCCCTTCGCAGATGCATGGGGCGGCCGTGCTTACCCACTGAGAGCAGGTGGCTGTAGTTCTCTAGTGTCACATCCCAGTACAGGCGTCTCTGAGCAGGGTCCAAGTGCTGCCACTCCTCCTTGCTGAAGTCCACAGTCACATCCTCAAATGACACTGAAATCTGTAACGACACAATCCTGTTCAAGGCAGCATGGTCAGCATCGGGGGATGGAAGAAGGTAGATAGCAAGCTGTTTTTAATGCTTTTTACCATAATGTATCATGTAGGGTTTTCACTAAGTACCTAGTTTTATATTGTATTTTGTGAGAGGAAAACAATTTGTTAAAAATTTAATAAAATATAACTTAAAGACTTGGATAACCAACAGAAGAAGACATCAATGCAGCTTTAGGAATTTGGAAGAAAAGTATGGACTTTTCTTAGAGACAGTGGGGTGAGAGTTATCTAGAAGGCAGAAGCATGAGCAAAACGGTGGAGAAAGAAAAATAGAAAAATACATGGTGGGTTCTGGGAACTCCAAGCAGTTCCATATAAAGAAAAGGAATCTGTGTAGTATATTAAGAAGGTGGCTATGAGGAAAATCCAGTAGAGATATACTAGCATCAGAACAAGGAACAAGTCTTTTTTTCTAATAGAGAATGGACTGCCATTTATATGCAAGAAAAGACAAGATTGTAATTGTGTGATTTCAAACAGTATTCAAGATGCATAGGACTGGACATGCTGGCTCACTCCTGTAGTCCCAGTACTTTGGGAGGCCGAGGCAGATGGATCACCTGAGGTCAGGAATTCGAGACCAGCCTGACTAATATGGTGAAGCCCTGTCTCTACCAAAAATAGAAAAGTTAGCTGGGCATGGTGGCATGTGCCTGTAATCCCAGCTACTCAAGAGGCTGAGACAGGAGAACTGCTTGAACCTAGGAGGCAGAGGTTGCAGTGAACCAAGACTGCGCCACTGCACTCCAGCCTGGGTGACAGAGTGAGACTCTGTCTCAAAACAAAACAAAACAAAAAAGACACATCACAAGGAATGTTTGAAATGGGTGAGTCCAGATCAGTCTGGAGATGCACTACAGAGTTTATATGAGAGAATAAGACAATATGGACTTAAGGTTGTAGTTGTCATGGGCAAGTAAAAGAAGGTGTTGGCAGAGGGGGTGGCTCATGCCTGTAATCCCAGCACTTTGGGAGGTCAAGGCAGGCAGATTACCTGAGGTCAAGAGTTTGAGACCAGCCTGGTCAACATGGCGAAACCTCCAGCTCTACCAAAAATACAAAAATTAGCTGGGCATGGCGGGCCACTGTATCCCAGGTACTTGGGAGGCTGAGGCAGGAGAATTGCTTGAACTCACGATGCGGAGGCTGTAGTGAGCCGAGATTGCACCACTGCATTCCAGCCTGGGTGACAGAGTGAGACTCTGTCTCAAAAACAACAAACAAACAAAAAGAAGGTGTTGATACTGTGTTTTAAAGAGGCTGAATTATGGGGGTGAGAAAAATAAAGAATTCTAGGGCAATTATCAGTTATCACTTTTACACAACCATGCAGATCGTGGTGCTATATACTGAGAGGGGCTAGTAGATTAGGAAGGGAGTGGAGAAGAGAATAAAACATAATGTTACATTTTGTCCACGTTGAAATTAAGGTGGTAAAACACGCAGGGAGTTATACAATAGGCGGTTGGACTAGAATAGAGGTAAGATTTGGGAGTTCTCATATAGAGCTGCAAAACAGATGAGACGGCCCAGGAAGGGCACACGGATAGAGAAGATACAGAATATCTTACAGACCATCTCTAAATGAAGTGTATTTAAGTCAGAAATCAGTAATAAGAGGAAACTTTTCAGAAATCATCATTTTAAATTTTAGAACTATCATCTAAGAAGATACACTAAACATCAATGTAATCAGTACATGTAAGAATTTACAGGATTAAGAAACGGTAACTAAAGTGGAAATTAGGGTCTTCAGTGCTCATATTACAAAAGAATAAAGTTCAAAATTCCATGCATTAAGCATCAAAATAAAAACATTATAAAAATAAAATAGAGGCTGGGCATGGTGGCTCACGCCTGTAATCCCAGCACTTTGGTAGGCTGAGGTGGGTGAATCATGAGGTCAGGAGTTCGAGATCATCCTGACCAACATCCTGATGGGGGTAGAGACCCCTGTCTCTACTAAAAATACAAAAATTAGCTGGGTGTAAGGGTACATGCCTGTAATCCCAGCTACTCAGGAGGCTGAAGCAGGAGAATTGCTTGAAACCGGGAGACACAGATTGCAGTGAGCTGAGATTGCACCACTGCGCTCTAGCCTGCTTGACAAAGCAAGACTCTGTCTCAAAATAAATAAATAAATAAATAAATAAATAAATAAAGCCCAAGAAAAAAGCCTTTAAAAAGAAGAACTCAATAAATTCAATGCCATCCCAATTAAAATCACAACAGGATTTTTGTAAAATCTGACAAACCAATTCTAAAATTTCTGTGGAAGTAGCGCAAATGGCCAGGAATAGCCAAGACACTTTTTAATTAAACAATTATTTTTTATCTTGTTTTCAGAGACATGGTCTCACTTTGTCACCCAGGCTAGGGTGCAGTGGCGTGACCGCAGTTTACTGTAGCCTCAACCACAGGCATATGCTTCAGTTTTTTTTTTTTTTTTTTTTTAAATTTTGTAGACAGGGTCTCCCTATGTTGCCCAGGCTGGTCTAGAACTCCTGGCCTCAAGTGATCCTCCCACCTCAGCCTCCTAATGCACTAGGCTTGCAGGCATGAGCCACTGTGCCTGGCCTGCCAAAATGCTCTTGAATAGTAAAAGCTATGTGGGAGGACATGCTTTACAAGATCTCAAGACTTACAAAGCAACAAAAATTTAAGATATTGTTGTCATGGTGCTAGTATATACAAATAATCCATTGCAACAGAATACAGAGTACAGGCTGGGTATGGTGGCTCATGCCTGTAATCCCAGCACTTTGGGAGGCCAAGGTAGGTAGATCACCTGAGGTCAGGAGTTCATAACCAGCCTGGCCAACATGGCGAAATCCCGTCTCTACTAAAAATACAAAAATTAGCTGGGCGTGGTGGCACGTGACTGTAGTCCCAGCTACTTGGGAGGCTGAGGCAGAAGGATAGCTAGAACCCAGGAGGCAGAGGCTGGAGTGAGCTGAGACCGGGTCACTGCACTCCAGCTTGGGTGACAGAGTAAAACTCCATCTCCAAAAAAAAAAAGGCGTAGAGAGTACAGACACAGACCCACATATACAGTCATCTGATTTATGCCAAAGGTATCCAGGCAGATAGTAAGGAAAAATATTTTTAACAAATGTTGCCAGGGCCCAGGTGCAGAGGCTCACACCTGTAACCCCAGCACTTTGGGAGGCTGAGGTGGGTGGATCGTTTGAGCTCAGGAGTTTGAGATCAGCCTAGACAACATGGCAAAACCCCATCTTTATAAAACACACAAAATTTTAGCCAGACATGGTTACATGTGCCTGTAGTCCCAGCTACTCAGGAGGCTGAGGTGGAAGAATCACTTGAGCCCAGGAAGCTGAGGCTGTAGTGAGCCGTGATTGTGCCATTGTGCCATTGCACTCCACCCTGGGTGACACAGCAAGATCCTATTTCAAAAGAAAAGGAAAAATAAAAGAAGAAAAGGTGCCAGGGCAGTTGTGTATAGAAAATAATAAAATAAAGTCTGAGCTCTACTTCATATCACATGCCAAAACAACAAATCTCTTGAACCCGGGAGGCGGAAGTTGCAGTGAGTCAAGATCACGCCATTACACTCCAGCCTGGGCAACAAGGGTGAGACTCCGTCTCAAAAAAAAAAAAAAAAAAAAAAAAAAAAAAAAAAAAAAATCAATTCCAAGGCCAGGTATGGTGGCTCATGTCTGTAATCCCAGCACTTTGAGAGGCTGAGGCAGGAGGATTGCTAGAGTCCATGTTTGAAAGCAGCCTGGGCAACATGAAGAGACCCTGTCTCTACAAAAAAATTAAAACATACAGCACACATATAAAAATTAGCCGAGTGGGGTGGCATACGACTGTGGTCTCAGATACCCAGGAGGCTGAGGTGGGAAGCTCTCTTGAGCTTGTAAGGTGAAGGCTGCAGTGAACTGTCTGTGCCACTGTATTCCAGTCTGGGCAACAGAATGAGATCCCATCTCAATAAATATATATGAATTCCAGATGTATTACGGACTTAAATGTGAAAAGCAAAAACTCTAAAGCCTTTAGAAGATAATACAGATGGCTATCTTCTTTCATGACCTTGGATTAGCAAAATAGTTCTCAAACATGAACCATGAAGATTGATAAGTCTGTCTACAACAAAGCTTAGAACTACTATTCATTTAAAAGACAGCATTAAAAGAGAACAAAGGGAAAGCCAGAGAGTAGAAGATATCTCCAACTCACATTACCAATAAAGGACTCAGTGCTAGTAGATGTAAAGAACTTGTACAAATCAACAAGAAAAAAAAAGAGACCACCTAGTAGAAAAATGGGCAAAGCATTCATTTTACAAAAGAGGAAATCCAAGGCTTTAATAAACATATTTAAAAAAAGGTTTAACCTCCTTAGTAACCAGGGAATACAAATGAAAACCACAATGGATACCATTACACAACCCCTAGAAAGTCTTAAGTGAAAAAGCCTGATAATACCAAGTGTTGAAGAGAATGTGGTACAGGGAGAACTCTCGTATTGCTGATGGAGGAGGTGGGAATGGCTACAACCGCACTGGAAAGTATTTGGCCCTAACTGATAATGTTGAAGATAGGCAGACAATATGACACAGTGAGTCCACTCATGGAAATATATATGCCCATGTGGAATATGTGCACATGTACAACAGGAGGTGCATTCAAGAATATTTATAGCAGCATTGTTCAAAATATGTATATTTCATGACACAAGGGTTTAAAAACTGATTAAAAACATCAGTATTCAATAAATGTACAGTATCTGCTGTCTTTGGAAAAAAAATTAAGGATATTTTCTTTTCTTTCTTTTTTTTTTTTTTTTTGAGACAGGGTCTTACTGTGTTGCCCAGGCTGGAGTGCAGTGGCACAATCTTGGCTCACTGCAACCTCCATCTCCTGGGTTCAAGTGATTCTCCTGCCTCAGCCTCCGAGTAGCTGGGATTACAGGTGC